TGGTTCTTTTTACTTCAGTTATAGTCTTTGACCAAAATCCTTCCTGGTGGTGGGGGAAGGAGAGCGTCTTTTTTTTTTTTTTCTATGCAGTCTTGCTTTGTCACCAGGCTGGAGTGTAGTGGCGCAATTTCGGCTCACTGCAACCTTTGCCTCCAGAGGTTCAAGCAGTTCTCCTGCCTCAGCCTCCCGAGTAACTGGGACTACAGGTGCACGCCACCATGCCCAGCTAATTTTTGTATTTTTAGTAGAGACGGGGTTTTGCTATGTTGGCCAGGATGGTCTCAATCTCTTGACCTCGAGACCTGCCTGCCTTGGCCTCCCAAAGTGCTGGGATTACAGGCATGAGCCACTGTGACCGGCACAGAGTCTTCAGAATAATTCTAGGCGGGGTGTGGTGGCTCACTTTGGGAGGCCAAGAAGGGAGGGTTACTTGAGCCCAGAGTTTGAGGCCAGCCTGGGCAACATAGGGAGACCCAGTCTTTACATAAAATATTAAAATTAGCCAGGCATAGTGGTGCATACCTGCAGACCCAGCTACTGGGTGGGAGGCTGAAATGGGAGGATTGCTTGAGCCTGGAAGATCAAGGCTGCAGTGAGCCGTGATTGCCCCACTGCAATTCAGCCTGGGCAAGAGTGAGACCCTGTCTCAAAAAGAAAAAGAATTCTAAAGGGGTGAAATTCAGCGTTTTTTCTTTCTATGAATTTCTCCATACCCAAGGTAGAAGTTGAATTAGAAACCAAATTATGGGCCAGGTGCGGTGGCTCAAGCCTGTAATCCCAGCACTTTGGGAGGCCGAGGCGGGTGGATCACAAGGTCAAGAGATCGAGACCATCCTGGTCAACATGGTGAAACCCCGTCTCTAGTAAAAATACAAAAAATTAGCCGGGTATGGTGGCGCGTGCCTGTAATCCCAGCTACTCAGGAGGCTGAGGCAGGAGAATTGCCTGAACCCAGGAGGCGGAGGTTTCAGTGAGCCGAGATCGCGCTATTGCACTCCAGCCTAGGTTACAAGAGTGAAACTCCGTCTCAAAAAAAAAAAAAAAAAAGAAAAAGAAACCAAATCATGGCCAGGCACAGTGGCTCATGTCTGTGATTTTAGCATTTTGGGAGGCCAAGGTGGGCGGATCACCTGAGGTCAGCCGCCAACATGGTGGAACGCTGTCTCTACTAAAAATTCAAAAATTAGCTGGGCGTAGTGGTGCATGCCTGTAATCGCAGCTTCTTGGGAGGTTGAGACAGGAGAATCACTTGAACCCAGGAGGCAGAGGCTGCAGTGAGCAGAGATTACGCCACTGCACTTCAGCTGGGCAACAAAAGTGAGAATTAGTCTCAAAAAATAAAAAACAAACAAACAAAAAAACATGAGCATTGCACACTACTGTTGCCAGTTGGTGCTAATAAGCGTTAGTTTACATATACAGACACAGTCAATTACTGAACAAGTACCGTGGTTTTTCCTGGTGTAATAGCATTGTCCAGTGGCCAAGGAATGGAATTTCTCTGTGGCCACCTGAGTTGCCTTCTATCTAGCTCATTCTCAACTTCCAAATGTATATACCACTTCCCCGAAATGACTATTTATTATGAGACAGTGTCTCACTCTGTCACCCAGGCTGGGATGCTGTGGTATGATCACAGTTCACTGCAACCTCTACCTCCTGGGTTCAAGTGATTCTCAGGCTTTAGCCTCCAGAGTAGCTGGAACTACAGGCGTGTGCCACCATGCCTGGCGATTTTTTTTTTTTTTGAGATGGAGTTTTGCTCTTGTTGCCCAGGTTGGAGTGCAATGGCATGACCTCAGCTCACTGCAACCTCCGCCTCCCGGGTTCAAGCGATTCTCCTGCCTCAGCCTTCCAAGTAGCAGGGATTACAAGCATGCACCACCACACCGGGCTAATTTTTGTATTTTTAGTAGAGATGGGGTTTCTCCATGTTGGTCAGGCTGGTCTTGAACTCCAAACCTCGCGATCTGCCAGCCTCGGCCTCCCAAAATGCTGGGATTACAGGCACGAGTCACTGTGCCCAGTGGCAAATATTTTTTTTTCTTTTTTTTTGAGATAGAATCTAGCTCTGTTGCCCAGGCTGGAGTGTAGTGGGGCAATCTCGGCTCACTGCAACCTCCACCTCCTGGGTTCAAGTGATTCTCCTGCCTCAGTCTCCTGAGTAGCTGGGTGGCACTTGCCACCACACGCAGCTAATTTTTGTATTTTTAGTAGAGATGCAGTTTCAGCATGTTGGCCAGGCTGGTCTCAAAACTCCTGACCACAGGTGACTTGCCAGTCTTGACCTCCCAAAGTGCTGGTATTACAGGTGCTAGCCACCCCGCCTGGCCCCAACTTCTGTATTTTTAGTAGAGAGAGGGTCTTGCTATGGTACCAGGCTGGTCTCAAACTCCTGGCCTCAAGCAATCTGCTGCTTCGACCTCACAAAGTTCTGGGATTATGGTGGGAGCCTCAAAATCGACTATTTAAACTGTGACTTATACATTTCAAAAACAAACCAAAATATTTCCAGCAATTCAAAGGCAGACTATAAAATGGGGGTTAAGGATATGGGATTTCCTGGCACCCTCACCTCGCCTGAATGACTCTGCATTTGCTTCTTAGGTTCGCCTGGCCCTAATGCATGCTGAGTACTTCATGAACAACGTTAAGATGAATGACTATGTCAAAGACAGTGAGGAATGCAAACCAGTCATCATTAATGCCCTAAAAGCCATGTATGACCTCAACATGAATGGACCCTCTAATTCTGATTTCACCAACCCACTCACCAGACCCCGCTTGCCCTATGCCATCCTCTTTGCAATTGGTGGCTGGAGTGGTGGAAGCCCCACCAATGCCATTGAGGCATATGATGCTCGGGCAGACAGATGGGTGAACGTTACTTGTGATGAAGAGAGTCCCCGTGCCTACCATGGGGCAGCCTATTTGAAAGGCTATGTGTATATCATTGGGGGGTTTGATAGTGTAGACTATTTCAATAGCGTTAAGCGTTTTGACCCAGTCAAGAAAACCTGGCATCAGGTAGCCCCAATGCACTCCAGACGTTGCTACATCAGTGTGACAGTCCTCAGTAATTTTATTTATGCCATGGGAGGATTTGATGGCTACGTGCGTCTAAACACTGCTGAACGCTATGAGCCAGAGACCAATCAATGGACACTCATCGCCCCCATGCACGAACAGAGGAGTGATGCAAGCGCCACAACACTTTATGAAAAGGTAAAGGACCAGGGTGGGAGGGTGCAAAGTACAAGCCCAGAAATGATGCTGTTCTTTTTTGGGGTGGGTGAAAGATGAAGTGGCAGTATTCACTTTGCAGTACTCATTCTTCCTTCAACTAAGTGACCCAGCTACAACTGTCTTATTTTGCTTATTAAAAAGTAATGCGGCCGGGCCCGGTGTCTCATGCCTGTAATCTCAGCACTTTGGGAGGCAATGGTGGGCAGATCACTTGAGGTCAGGAGTTGGAGACCAGCCTCGCCAACATGGTGAAACCCCGTCTCTACTAAAAATACAAAAATTAGCCAGGCGTGGTGGCGCACACCTGTAATTCCAGCTACTCAAGAGGCGGAGGTTTAACTGAGCCAAGATAGCTCCACTGCCCTCCAGCTCAGGCAACAGTGAGACTCCAACTCAAAAAATAAAAAATAGGCCAGACATGGTGGCTCATGCCAGTAATCCTAGCACTCTGGGAGGCCGAGGTGGGTGGATTGCCTGAGCTCAGGAGTTCGAGACCAGCCTGGGCAACATGGTAAAACCCGGACTCTACTAAAATACAAAAAAATTAGCCGAACATGGTGGTGTGCGCCTGTAGTCCCAGCTACTCGGGAGGCTGAGGCAGGAGACTTGTTAGAACCCAGGAGGTGGAGGTTGCAGTGAGCTGAGATCAGACCACTGCACTCCAGCCTGGGTGACAGAGCAAGACTCTGTCTCTAAAAAAATAAATTGAGATTGTACGGACTGGGATTAAGTGTCTCCTACCACCACACACATATCCTTTCTTTCTATTCCCTAGAGGTGGAAATTTTAATAATCTTGGAACTCTTCACACAGGTCTACATATGTGGTGGGTTTAATGGAAATGAGTGCCTGTTTACAGCAGAAGTGTACAACACTGAAAGTAATCAGTGGACAGTCATAGCACCCATGAGAAGCAGGAGGAGTGGAATAGGCGTGATTGCTTATGGAGAACATGTATATGCAGTAAGTTGATCTAGTACTGCAAAAACACACGCACATATTACCCCTAGATTTTGTATTAGTAAATGGGTTTATGCTACTATTGTGAAGTATTTGAAGAGCTTTTTTTCATGGAAGAGGGAGTTATGAAATCACGGGTACCCCCACAAGGGCCTCCTCAGTGCATAGAATCAGTGGTTAGCGGCCAACGGTGTTTCTTTTGCTATCCACAGGTAGGTGGCTTTGATGGAGCGAATCGCCTCAGGAGTGCAGAAGCCTATAGCCCAGTGGCTAACACTTGGCGCACAATCCCCACTATGTTTAACCCTCGTAGCAATTTTGGCATTGAGGTGGTGGATGACCTCTTGTTTGTGGTGGGTGGCTTCAACGGCTTTACCACCACCTTTAATGTGGAGTGCTATGATGAAAAGACCGATGAGTGGTATGATGCTCACGACATGAGCATATACCGAAGCGCTCTGAGCTGCTGTGTGGTACCAGGGCTGGCCAATGTTGGGGAATATGCAGCTAGACGGGACAACTTCCCAGGATTAGCACTGCGAGATGAAGTAAAGTATTCTGCTTCAACAAGTACCCTACCTGTATGAGCCCCTTCATTTAGCTAATAAAAAGTCTAAGCAGTAAGAATTAATTCTTTTTTTTAAAATAAATGCAGTGTTTAAACTTTGAAGAATACTGGAAAATGTTCAGCTGAAGGGAGTGATGGTTGGATGAGGGAGCGGGAGGGAGGGAAGAAGGCAATGATATCCAACAGTGCACAATTAAAGAAGAAAAATCACATGGTACAAACCAGCTTTAAAGAAATATGTTTATTTAAAACTTACACTGAGACAATTAGTAGCTTTAACAGAGAACAAGATAGCTTCAAGAACATAAAACGAGCTATTTTACAAAGTAATGTCTCAAGGTGTTCTAAATACTACATCTCCTCTGACTTAAAAGGAGATAGTGAAGATTATATTTTCAGTAGAGTAGGGACCTGGATACTACTAGTCCAAAAAACTCACTGCATCAACTCAAATTAAATGTTTATTTTACAAATAACGAGCCCAAGCAGATGGATCATAAAATCTTCTAACAACTAGCAAGCACTACTTTCCACGAGTGCATATGCAGGAGGATTAAGTTAACAAGTGCTCTACAGTCTGTCTGTGCTTCAACATAAGACATTTGTAGTGATGGTCACAAAGTAAGACAAAAAAAGCCCCACAAACAGCAGTGGTTTTGCTAACTAATTAAATTCCTTGAAGCAAAATCACTACTAGGTTATATTACTGCTATTATATTACATCACTCAATTATGAGCTGTTCTGTTTCCAATGACCAGAACATACATTACAATAACAAAAACAAAAAATGGACTATTGTCAAGAAAGTAACAAACCGGAGTGATGAACTGTGCCAAAATGTTTCAGAGTTCAGGTGAGATTGAATTGCTTCTCAAGTATTTTACAGTTAAAGCACCCTCTGATATAGACAGAGTACTTGCTTTACAATAATGTATACTTTCAAAGACATGAAACGTGGCCAGTACACTATATTTAAACTTAATTTGAGAAAAGTACCAAAAAAGAAGTCCCTTTAGTTATGCTTGATTAGACCAAATAACTAAAATATACAATTCAGCTCATTTGTCTACATATATAGTATAGTGTTGATATTAGAATTACCAAACAGAAAATGAATTTTAAACATACCACATGCTACACTAGTCAAGAGGTAACGAGGAAAATGAGCCCTAGACACTGCCTTACCAGCAGCCTGATGGGTTTAAAAACAAAAGCACACAAATCTTCCATAAACACTATCTTTCCAGCTTCAAATTTCTGTTCCATATTAAAAAAAGTATATTTAAATTTTTTGGTCCCAGAAATACTATATAAAACCAGGTGATCAAAACAAAACTGATGTCATGAATTTTAAGAGTTTTTAGCAAAAAAGTTATTTTTGAACTGGCACAGCAAAAGCAAAGTTGAATATCAAGATACACAAGACTAATCATGCAAACAACTATAAGTGGGATGTGTTACTTAAACACTAAGCTCATGACTGACATTCTCAATATACACCACTGATTTTTTTAAGCCATGGTGGGGTAGATACAGTTCAAGGATACCCATTCTAAGATATAAGTAGCCTCACTCAAAGTTATACATACTTGTTATTTTTTGGTATAATGACTTCCTCTCTCTTCTACAAACATAAGCAAAAGCAACAGCAACAAAACAAAGGTTTGCTTGAACACACCATTAAGCTGTCTTTCTAAAGTCATGTTTTTAACTGCTTACATTACCAAAAACCATCTTTTAAGTTTTCATCAAAAAGGAAATTTCTTTCCCAAGGAGCTATTTTAGGCCTGATCTTTGTAATTAGAATCTTTCCAAATACTCTGGCAAGTTATTTCCAGTTTAGAATTTCAGAATGTCAGCCTTGAACAATTTAAGCAAATCTGGTTTCTTTCCTTATTAACAAGTTAGTTAGAATATTTCAGGAACACAAGTTATTGATGTGAAATCACACATGTGAATTCAAATATAAAAATCAGAAATTCCAGAAAACCTGCACACATCAGCATGCAATGAAGGACTTACCCCTTCTTTTCAGCCATGGCCTAGGCTGCCTGCTAAGTTAAAAAACAACAGTTTAAATCAAGGTTTTAGAACCAGACTTTGCCTAAATCTTATGACTTACAATTTTTGTCACACCATGTGAAAAAAACAGAACCCCACGAAAGACTTGGTAATGATTATCTCAGAAGACAACTCTGAGAACAAAAAACAAAAACACATCACACCCTTCTAGTGAAAAACTATCGTAGTGAGATATTAAATTATTTAAACATAAGAAAAGGAAGTTTGCTAGCATAGTCTATTGGAAAGAAATGAGAACTTTATTCAATGAGCTTCACTTAATGATTCACTCTTACTTGCACAGACCTCTCACAACTAGGAATTAGTGCTTCTCAGAATTCAAATGGCTTTTATTAAAGTGACTACAAAGAAATGGAAATTGAGAAAAGGGTAGTGGTGGGGTAGGATAATGTATCTTTATATGTAGAAATAGACTTGCAATTTCCCACGCCCACTCCAGTCTAAATTAAAGGGATTTAAAGTTGATTTTCAACTTTAACACATCACACATTTATTAAAAACTTTTCTCCTAGGCAGGGATACTAATTTAAAAATTTCAAGTTCTTAGTATAGACCCAAGAGCTAAAACTATTAGTCTTGCAGCAAATAGCCAAAATTTCTGGTTGTGCTTTTCTCTTTTGATATTTGATCACTAACAAGGTTAACTATAATGGACTAGGAAAAAAAAAATGACTGAACTTGGAATTTGACTTCTAGAATGGTATTCCAAAATGTCTAAGAAGGTAAAGACATTCCTTAAGAAACAGGATAAATCACCGGGCAGGTGGCTCTTTGGGAGGCCAAGATGGGAGGATTGCTTGAAGAAAGGAGCTTAGGACCAGCCTGACCAATAAGGTGAGACCTCACAGCTTAAAAAATAAAAAATAAAAAAAAGAAAACTACATTGCAAACTGTTAGGAATCCTTTATATTAACTGAGCACTAGGAGTCAATTTGAGGCCAGGCATGGTGGCTCACATCCGCAATCCCAGCACTATGTTCCCCAGGCTGGTCTTGAACTCCTGAGCTCAAAATCTGCCCACCTCAGCTTCCCCCAAAGTGCTGGGATTATAGTCGTGAGCCACTGTGCCCAGCCCACAATCTTTAGGAGCCAAAATTATGTACCCAAATTTGGTATCCTAGGCTCAAGCAAAGTTTAAAAGTGTAGAGCAACTAGATAAAATATAACAATCAGGGCCAGAAATAATGCTTCTCTTTAGCAACATTTCTCTAAATTGTGGCTTCTTTCCCATTTTGAAAAAAACAGTTTTTGTAGAAAGTAATAATGGGCCAGGTGTGGTGGCTCAAGCCTGGAATCCCAGGACTTTTGGGAGGTTGAGGCGGGGGGATCACCTGAGGTCAGGAGTTCAAGACCACCCTGACCAACATGGCAAAACCCTGTCTCTACTAAAAGTAGAAAAATTAGCCGGGCGTGGTGGTGGGCGCCTATAATCCCAGCTACTCAGGAGGCTGAGGCAGGAGAATCACTTGAACCTGGGAGGCGGAGATTGCAGTGAGCCAAGATTTTGCCACTGCACTCCAGGCTGGGTGAGGAGAGCAAGGCTTTGCCTTAAAAAAAAGGCCGGGCATGCAATCCCAGCAGTTTGGGAGGCCGAGGCAGGTGAATCACTTGAGGTCAGGTGATTGAGAAAACCTGGCCAACATGGTGAAACCCTGTCTCTACTAAAAATACAAAAATTAGCCAGGGGTGGTGATGCACACCTGTAATCCTATTTGGGAGGCTGAGGCAAAAGAATCACTTGAACCTCCCAGGAGGCAGAGGTTGCAGTGAGCTGGGATCGAGCCACTGCACTCCAGCCTGGGCCACAGAGTGAGATTCCATCTCAAAGGCAAAAAAAGGGAATAATGAAAATTCTATATAATATGCATTAGAGCAAAAATTAAAATGGAAGGCATTGAGTGTAGATTGTCATAGGCATTATTTACACTCATTAACACATCCTCAAATTATCCTGCAACTCCTGAAAAAGGTGTTTAAAAAATGTTTTAAATGCCTTTCTCAGTCTACCCTAATACTTTTCTTCTTAGAGAAACAAAGTTCACATATGTGACCTTCTGTGTATTTAGTCAATCAGCTAAAGAGCTATACTTATGCCAACTATCCTCACCTCAGACCAAAGGCTTAAAGTCTGTAAACAGCTGCTAATGAAAAATATTCAAAAAATGCATGAGCCAATCACAAATTTCTCATCAGTCACATCTTCTAGAAATGAAAATGGCATGTCTAGATAAACATAAGAAAGTATCAATGCAAACATTCTCAAACCATCTTGCTGAAATATTGAGCATTTTCATCCAAATTTCAGTCTCACTATTGCACATGCCTCCTGCAGATGAGGGCTCAGTGCATAAGTCCGATCTTGCCAAAACCAATCATTTCATGAAAAATGAGAAAGAATATCAAAGTAAATGTGCAAATAAAATTGGTGCTTAAAGCATGTTCAAAACATAAGTCCCCAAGACAAAGGAGTTATAACTCGTTGGCAGAAAAACAGCCAAGCAACTACACCTGACTTTTCCATTTGTCTTTAATAAGATCTTATTTAGCTAGCACAAACAAACCAAAGACAAAGATTGCAAGTTAACAAAATGACCATGTATTGAACTGAGTTTCCCATACTCTAGTTTTAACTGTATTTCCTTTATATGGGGTAACAACCAGTTCAGGTAGAAAATAAGTTATCGACATACTTTTTCAAGTAACAGCCTGGATATCTTCAGCTTCACGAAACGGGTATAACAGTTTTGAGCTGCACACTTGAGAGAGCCTAGCATTCAATCTGAGAGCTTGGCACTCGCCGCATGTTTAGGGCGTGACGATGTATCTCTTGCATTTGTCTGATGCGGTCCTTCTGCCACATTAGGTTTTGAGGCATAGGATATCTCTGTGTGCCATGCAAGTATCGGTAGGGGATCCTCACGTGACAAGCAGTGGCTCTACAACGAGGTTGTGGCATAGGAGGAAGCAGCATCCACCTCTTCCTCTCCGCACAATATCGGTAGGCTTCTTTCCGATACTGTTTATCTATATCATCACTGTTTTTCCAGCCTCCAATAATGAAGACATCATCTTTGTAATAGCAAATGGCTGCTCCTTCGATGCTTAGGACTTCTGGAGGCAAGCTTTCAAGGATCTCATCAGATACCTGGCTGGCAATTTTTCTTACTGCCTCTTCGTTTTCTAAACAATAACTCTTGGGACAACATGATGCTGTCTGATAAAAGTTTGAATTGACCACAGACATTTGGAAAAAGCAGTAATTGTCAATAAGTGGCAAAGATTCCACATCTTGCCACTGTCGAGTCTCTGTATCATAGCAAGTAATTACAGCCTTTAGTCCATCTTCAGTGTCCCGGTCCACAGGAGTGCGGGCGGCAATGTATACAAACCGGTCTTCAATGCCTAGTGCTTTGACATCTCGAAGAATCTTTGGTGCCGATTCCAAGTTGTGCCATTTATCAAGCTCAGGATTATAAACAGTCACATCTTTAAAACCAGGACTAAAGTTGCCATGTCCTCCAATGCTATAGAGCTTCCCTTTGACTTCTGTTAGCCCAAAAGAATGCTTTCTTGTCATCAGACTACAAACATGTTCCCATGTATTCAAATTTGGGTTATACCTTTCTACAGTTTTAGCAAACCCTGGCTCCATTGATCCTGCAACATACACGTAGGATTCTGTTACTGCAACAGCATGTCCATCGAGGTGATTATGAATATGTGGCAGGTTTACCCATCTGTCCTCATCAACAAAATACCCCACACATTCACTTAAATAGTCTCCTCCTTCTGACACACCTCCAATAACCATGATCACATCCATATTTTGCCCATAACGAGGCAGTAGTGAAACATGAGAAGTGGGGAGCTGGAATGTGCCAGATTGTATATTCTCAGCTCTCAGAGCATGCCTCTCCACTGCATCAGCCACCAACTTGACGCAAACTTCATTATTGGCTACCAGCCTCTCTGGTTTGACATGTCGTGTAAGGTAGGTAGGTTTCATCTGGGACAACCTGAGCAATTTAAAAAGTTCTTCGAAGTATCTCTCTCTCTCTTCAGCATTTCTCTGAACCCATTTCAAAACGGTTTCAAAGAGAACTTCTTCAGAATCAACCGTAATTTCCAAATCTGAAAGCCAGTCTCTAATGAGATGGAAAGGTAATGTATAAAATTCTTCATCCTGAATCACTTTGTGGAAATTTCTCCGTATCATATCAGCAGCCTTCAGAGCAAGTTGGCTCAGGGTGTACATGTGGGCTAAGCTATGAATTGCCACACAATTTGAGAGATGAAGTTTTTTCTTAAGAAATTCTCCACAAAATTCTTTTAAACGAATTAGTAGAAACCTAAAATCAAGAAAAAGGGAAGATTAATTTTTCAAATGTACATATTTCATGTGGTTACTTTTTTCTTTCTTTTTGAGACAGAGTCTCACTCTGTCACCCAGGCGGGAGTGCAGTGTTGTATTATCGGCTCACTGCAACCTCTGCCTCCTGGGTTCCAGCAATTCTCTTGCCTCAGCTTCCCAAGTAGCTGGGATTACAGCTACTTGCCACCACATCCAGCTAATTTTTGTATTTTTAATAGAGGTGGGGTTTTACTATGTTGGCCAGGCTGGTCTCAAACTCCTGACCTCAAAATGATCCGCCTGCCTCGGCCTCCCAAAGTGCTGGGATTATAAGTGTGAGCTACCATGCCTGGCCTACATTTTTTTTTTTTTTTTTTTTGAGACATAGTCTCACTCTGTTGGCCAAGCTGGAGTACAGTAGCACCATCTCAGCTCACTGCAACCCCTGTCTCCTGGGCTCAAGCAATTCTCCTACCTCAGCCTACCAAGCAGCTGGGATTACAGGCATGTGCCACCATATCTGGCTAATTTTTGTATTTTTAGTAGAGATGAGGTTTCACTACGTTGGCCAGGCTGGTCTTGAACTCCTGACCTCAGGTAATCTGCCCACCTCGGCATCCCAAAGTGTTGGGATTACAGGTGTGAGCACCCTACCTACCCACAGCCTATGTTTTTCTTTCTTTCTTTCTTTTTTTGAGATGGGGTTTCACCATTTTGGCCAGGCTGGTCTTGAACTCCTGACCTCGTGATTCACCTAACTCGGCCTCCCAAAGTGCTGGGATTACAGGCTTGAGCCACCTTGCCCAGCCCATGGCCTACGTTTTTAAAAATATTATTATTATTATTATTTTAGAAATGGGGTCTCACTATATTGTCCACACTGGTCTTGAACTCCTTACCTTAAGCAATCCTCCTGCCTCTGCTTCCCAAAGAGTTTTTGGATTACAGTTTATGAGCCACTATACCCAGTCTACGGTCACATTTTGAGAGAATCTAAATTATATATATTGAAATGGTTAATCTCACTTTGTAAAGAAAACCTGAAAGAAAAAAAAAACCACCACCAAATTAGAAAATATTGTGCTGGAAAAGGATGTTTAAAAGCACATATAGGCTGGGTGTTTGGGAGGCTGAGAATCACTTGAGCCAGGAGTTCGAGACTAGCCTAGGAAATGTGGCAAAACCCTGTCTCTTAAAATACAAAAATTAGCTGGGCTTGGTAGTGGGCGCCCAGCTACTCAGGAGGTTGAGGGAGGAGAATCGTTTGAACCTGGGAGGCAGAGGTAGTGAGCCGAGATTTTGCCACTGCACTCCAGCTTGGGTGACAGAATGAGATTCTAGCCTCAAAAATAAAAAAAAAAAGGACGTACAGAGCTGGGCATGGTGATGCATGCCTGTAGTCTCAGCTACTCAGGAGGCTTAGGCAAGAGGATTGGTTGAGGTCAGGAGTTCAAGGTTCTAGTGAGCTATAATCGTGCCTGTGAATAGCCACTGCACTCCAGCCTGGGCAACAAAGCAAGACTGTCTTTAAAAAAAAAAAATACATAGGCTGGGCATGGTGGCTCATGCTTGTAATCCCAGCACTTTGGGAGGCCAAGATGGGCAGATCATGAGGTCAGGAGTTCAAGATCAGCCTGGCCAACATGGTAAAATCTCGTCTCTACTAAAAATACAAAAATTAGCTGGGCATGGTGGCAGGTGCCTGAAGTCCCAGCTACTTGGGAGGCTGAGGCAGGAGAATGGCTTGAACCCAAGAGGTGGAGGTTGCAGTGAGCCAAGATTGTATCACTGGACTCCAGCCTGGGTGACAGAGCAAGACTCCATCTAAAAAAAAAAAAAAATATATATATATATATATATATATATATATATATATAAATCATATTTGTATAAGATATATTTAAGGTATTATTTATATTATAGTTTATATAATTACATATATGTGAAATATAAATATATAAACATACACACATATATATGAAAACACAAAATGGAATTTTTATTTTGGGAGACAAGTTTTTGCTACGCTGCCCAGACTGGAGTGCAGGGGCTATTCATAGGTGTGATCACAGTGAACTACAGCCCCAAACTCCTAGGCTCAAGCAATCCTTCTACCTCAGCTTCCAGAGTAGCAGGGACCACAGGCACATGACACTGGATCCAGCTGGAGTTTTTTGATGGTTTTTGTTTTTTGAGATGGAGTCTTGTTCTGTTGCCAGGCTGAAGAGCAGTGGCACAATCTCAGCTCACTGCAACCTCTGCCTCCTGGGTTCAAGGGATTCTCTTGCCTCAGCCTCCCGAGTAGCTGGGATCACAGGTGCACACCACCATGCCCGGCTAATTTTTTGTATTTTTTAGTAGGGATGGGGTTTCACCATGTTAGCCAGGCTGGTCTCAAACTCCTGACCTCAGCCTCCCAAAGTGCAGGGATTAAAGTACAACAGTCCCAAACTTTATTTTCACTTTAATTTGTCCCTGGCAAAGCAATTCCCTATCCAAACTTGTCTTTGCCGTTCTTCCCTAATTCCTTGCTAGCCACCAGCCTCATGTTTTTTGTTTGTTTTTGTTTTTTTTTTTTTTTTTTTAGAGACGGAGTTTCGCTCCTGTTACCCAGGCTGGAGCGCAATGGCGCGACCTTGGCTCACTGCAACCTCCGCCTCCTGGGTTCAGGCAATTCTCCTGCCTCAGCCTCCTGAGTAGCTGGGATTACAGGCACGCACCACCGTGCCCAGCTAATTTTTTGTATTTTTAATAGAGACGGGGTTTCACCATGTTGACCAGGATGGTCTCGATCTCTTGACCTCGTGATCCACCCGCCTCGGCCTCCCAAAGTGCTGGGATTACAGGCTTGAGCCACCGCGCCCGGCCGTTGTTTTTGTTTTTTTTTGAGACAGAGTCTCACTGTCACCCAGGCTGGAATGCAGTGTGGAATCATGGCTCAGTGCAGCCTCAACTGCAGTATCGACTTCTTGGGCTCAAGTGATTCTCACCTTTACCTCCCAAGTTGCTGGGACTACAGGCACACGCCACCACACCCAGATACTTTTTTTTTTTTGTAGAGACAAGGTTTTGCCATGTTGCCCAGAATGGTCTCAAACTCCTAAACTCAAGCAATCTGCCCACTTTAGCCTCCCAAAGTGCTGAGATTACAGGTGTGAGCCACCACACCCAGTATACCAGCCTCTTTTAAAATGAAAGAGGGTCTCAGTGAAAGGACCTTATGGTATAAAGTAACAGCCAGGCAGGAACTTGTTGGGGGGGTCTTTTCAGTCAGATATCAGAAGAAACAGGCTTTCTGCTAGAAGTTTTATTTTATTTTCAAATTTTTATCCAGGAGCATAGATTCAAGATACCCTGAGTAGATATACTCCCTGTGTCAGAGGTTTTAATCTCATCACCAGAGCTTTTTCTCTGGGCAGCCAGAGGGGATGGAGTACTCAGAAGATTTGTCCTGAACTGGGTTCTCACTAAAGCAGGGATGCCACACAAACTCAAACATCTGAAGAAGCAGGATATAACACAAAAACACAACAAAAAAACATGTGTAGAGGCTGGGTGCAGTAACTCAGGCCAGGCACAGTGGCTCAGGCCTATAATCCTAACACTTTGAGAGACTAAGGCAGGAGGATCACTTGAGGTCAGGAGTTCAAGACCAATCTGGCCAAAATGGTAAAACCGTGTCTTTACTAAAAATAGAAAAATTAGGCCAGGCTCAGTGGTTCATGCCTATAATCCCAGCACTTTGGGAGACCAAAGTGGGTGGATCACCTGAGGTCAGAAGTTCAAGACCAGCCTGGCCAACATGGCAAAACCCCATCTCTACTAAAAATACAAAAATTAGCCAGGTGTGGTGGCATATACCTGTAATCCCAGTTACTTGGGAGGTTGAGGCAGGAGAATCACTTGAACCCGCAAGGCGGAGGTTGCAGTGAGCTGAGATCGTGCCCACTGCACTCCAGTGACAGTGAGACTCCATCTCAAAAAACAAAAACAAGGCCAGGCGCGGTGGCTGAAGCCTATAATCCCAGTACTTTGGGAGGACGAGGCGGGTGGATCACGAGGTCAAGAGATCGAGACCATCCTGGTCAACATAGTGAAACCCCATCTCTACTAAAAATACAAAAAGTTAGCTGGGCATGGTGGCATGTGCCTGTAATCCCAGCTACTCAGGAGGCTGAGGCAGGAGAATTGCCTGAACCCAGGAGGCGGAGGTTGTGGTGAGCCGAGATCCCGCCATTGCACTCCAGCCTGGGTAACAAGAGCAAAACTCTGTCTCAAAAACAAACACACACAAAAAAAAGACCCCACAAAAATTAGCCCAGCATGGTGGTGGGTGCCTGTAGTCCCAGCTACTCAGGAGCCTAAGGCAGAAGAATTGCCTGAACCTGGAGCAGAGGTTGCAGTGAGCTGACTGAGATCATGCCACTGCACTCCAGCCTGGGGACACAGAGAGACTCCATCTCAAAAACAAAAACAAAAACAAATGTGTAGGTTAAAAACAAAACAAAGTGATTTGGCATGTAGCTGACTAAATATTGTCTGCTCACCTAAATTCATTTAAAGGTAAATTAAAAAAACCCCACAATCGTTTCAGACAAATTCTTAAATCTGGCAGCAATCGGCCTGAGGATAGCCAATTTGAGACCACTGCTTTAAAAAGACTAAGTCCCCAGAACTAAGAAAAACCTTAAAACAAGATTAAGAATCACTTCATCAGTTTAGGCCTCTCTCAATTCAGTAACCATTTGTTATTAGTGACTGTGCTTAGTAACTATCTTAACTATAATATGAAGATGAGTAAGTCAGGCTCCCTTCACCCTTTTAAGGGAACGTATCATTTTAGAGATAAAGCAAAGACAAAGTGGAGTGGTAAAGGAATATAGTGGCTCCCAGACATGTCTGGGTGCCAGCATCACCTGATTCCCAGGCTGTCCTGGGCTCCTAGTTTTAGCACACACTCCAGGTAATTCAGAGACATGTTCCCATAGGTGTCTGGAAGCAATGCTTCATGAAAATAGCTGTCCTATACTAGGCATCTGTCATGTGAGGGGCATCAGGCATATTCTATTATTATATTTCTGATCCTTACAAGTGCCCAGTGAGGCAGGCATGATCATCAACAGTCAGAATGCATTTAGGGGTAGGGGTAGAGGGTCCTGCCTCAGAGCTGATGGGAAGATTAAATGTGATGGCTGGTTGCAGGGCACGTCAAACAGTGCCTGACAAAAGCCAGCTGCTTAGCCTCTGACAGATTGAGAGATGAGTTTTGAGTAAAATGCCTGGAGTATCCTATCCTCTCTTCTAACTCCCCAGTAGAGCAGGGGCAAATCTGTCAAACTCAAGATCATATGACAGAATCAAACATAGCTTGGGTGAGTGCAATGACCCTTTTCCACCCATTTTCAGCAACAACCCTCTCTCCCTCAGAGCTATGCTCAGCCCACTCCACCTTCTCACTGATGACCCAGCCTCTTGAGAAAACAGAAACAATCAGGCAGGAACTTCATCTTCCCATCACCAATCTGCCAGCAGCTGTACCCTATAATCTGCCTTTGCAGTCCAACCTTTCCAATTTTAATATGGATTCTATACTGAAACAGAGTATTTCACCCAAAAATATACTTCTTTGACATATTCAGAGGGGACGAAAGCATAGGACTCGCTTTGAAGAGCTGTCTTTTGTGGGGGAGATTTGTATCTGTAGAGAAAATCCACATTAATGAGGTAAACAGGCTTTCTCTGAAGCCCCCCTCTTATTCAGATCTAGGAAAGATGCACTCACAGGAAAAACTAAGGAAGCTAATGTCCGACACTTTAAAGGTCTGACAGAAACTTTTCCCACAGGATACATCTATTCTTTGTGACAGCTGCTGCCTGTGAGGTTCCACCTGCCTAACAGGACAGTCTGTGGTGCCATGCTTTCCTCTCCTGGCTCTCCCATAACCTGTCTTGATGCACTCCAAGTCTCCATTCTTTCTGTAACCACAGGATGGTCTACAAATTTCAGTCGTGCCTTAGAGTTTTCTTATTTTGTCTGACTCTTGAGCACACATGTGCCTGTAATAATCTTACACTTTTCTCTGTCCTATAACCTGTCTTTTAAGAATGTCAGCTGTGTTGCCGGACGTGGTGGCTCAAGCCTGTAATCCCAGCACTTTGAGAGGCCGAGGCAGGTGGATCATGAGGTCAAGAGATCAAGACCATCCTGGTCAACATGGTGAAACCCCATCTCTACTAAAAATACAAAAAATTAGCCAGGCATGGTGGCGTGTGCCTGTAATCCCAGCTACTCAGGAGGCCGAGGCAGGAGAATTGCCTGAACCCAGGAGTCGGAGGTTACGGTGAGCCGAGATCACGCCATTGCACTCCAGCTTGGGTAACAAGAGCGAAATTCCGTCTCAAAAAAAAAAAAAAAGAATGTCAGCTATGACCCTTTATGATAAAGAGGAAAGGGATCACTCCTCTTCCATCCCTACAGTTCCCTTCTTGGTTGCAATGACTTTACTCCTGCAATCACTCCTCTGCTCCTGTAACATCAATTACTCCTCTTCTACTGAATCATTTTCAGCAGCACACAAACATGCTCTAGTATCTCTTACCTCAGTGGGATTGCCTCCCCCCAAAAAACATTTCCACATTTGTACCATTTTTCTGATCCTCTTTATAAAGCAAAGCTTAACTAGCTCTTGTCAATGGCATCAATGACCTGCAACCATCACTTATGGGTTGACAGAGTTGACATGACTGGCTACTCCCTCCTTGACATCCTTCCTTGCTATGTTTCCAAGAGATCAGTCTCCTTCTTTTTTTTTTTTTAGACTGACACTCACTCTGTTGCCTAGGCTGGGGTGCTGTGGCGAAATCTCAGCTCACTACGACCTCCACCTCCTGGGTTCTAGCAATTCTTCTGCCTGCCTCAGCCTCCCGAGTAGCTGGGATTACAGGCACCTGCCACCACGTCCTGCTAATTTTTGTATTTTCAGTACAGACAGTTTCATCATGTCGCCCAGGGTGGTCTCGAACTCCTAGTCTCCCAAAGTGCTGGGATTGGAGGCATGAGCCACCTCACCCAGCCAGCTCCTCTTTCACATTCTAGAGAACCCCAGGGTTCACTCCCTAAGTAATACCATCCAGCCCCATGGCTTTAGTTACCATTTATATGCTAATTTCCCCAATATGTATCTCTAGCTCCCCTGTGCTTATATTCAACTGCCCCAGGCACCTCCTTAACCAAATCCCAACTCCTGATCTTCCTCCCAGACTTGCTCTTCTGCAATCTTTCACATCTTAATAATTCCATCCTTCCAATTGCTTGGGTCGAAAAGGTAGCAGTCTTTTCCCCTATATCCCACATCAAATCCAGCAGCAAATGCATCTCATCTACTTTCAAAATACATCTAGAACCAGAGCACTTCTCATCACCTTTACTTCTCCCACCTCAAACCAAGCCTCCACCACCAATGACACAACCACCTACAGTCTCTCTGTGTCTGCCCTTGTTGCTCCCTCCTCAATGCCATATCCTTTGTTCTTTTTTTTTTGAGACTAGAGTCTCACTCTGCTGGCCAGGCTGGAGTGCAGTGGTGCAATCTCGGCTTACTGCAACCTCCCGCCTCTCAGGCTCAAATGATTCTCGTGCCTCAGCCTCCCCAACAGCTGGGATTACAGGCAGGCCATCACGCCTGACTAATTTTTGTATTTTTTAGTAGAGATGGTGTTTCACCGTGTTGCCCAGGCTGGTCTCAAACTCCTGACCTCAAGCATCCACCCACCATGGCCTCCCAAAGTGCTGAGATTACAGGCGTGAGCTACGGTGCCTGGCCGCCACATCCTTTTTCAACACAGCACTATTCATCAAATCAGGCTGCATCATTCCTCTGCCCCAAACCTTCCCATTTCAATCAGAATAAAAGCTCATGTCCTTCCACAGGTCATCAAGGCCCTATGGGATCTGGATCCATGCCCATTACCATCCTGGGGCTTCTCCTATTCCTCTCACCATGCATCCCTTTGACACAGCCATACTGGCTCCCGCTGTTCTCTAACACACAGCAAGCTCCTCCTCAGGGCCTCTGTACGTGTGTCCCCTACCTGACACACGCTTTACCTCCCTCTTTCGGTTCTGAGCAAAACGTCTTGTTCAAGAGGCAGTCTTCTATCTACCCAGTTTGAAAAACACCTCCTCTCTCCCAGCACTTTCTATGTACTCCCCCCATGCTTTATTTTACTTATTTACCGTCCGTCTACCAACCGAAGTGCGATAAGGAAAAGGACTTTTGTCTGTTTTGATCACTGCTGAAACACTAGTACCTTAGAATCCTGCATCTGAGTGGATGCGTTTTGTTAACGAATCTGTAAGATGATAATTGCCAAAACAAACGCCTCCCCATCTCTATAAATGGTATTACCTGCCTTCTAACCAGTCTCTGGAGCATCCATTCCTGCTCCCTACAATCCATTTACAACAGTGGCAGAATAATATTAAAATACTTAAATCAGATCATTTCTTTACCCAGCTTCCTACCACACTCAGTGAAATCCAAAGTCGTTATTCCAACGCATCTCACGCATCCTTTTCCTCTTCATCCACTAGACAGTCTCACTGGACTGTATTTTAAGGCTTTTCTTTAAGCCAAACTGGATCCTGCCGGAGGGCCTTTGCGCTGTCTGTAATGTTCATTCCCCATCTTTGCACGATCAGTTATTTTTTGACATTTAGAGGTCAGTCGAAACGTCACCTCCTCAGAAAGGTCTTTATTCAATCCGTATCTTTTCACTACTTTTGAACGTCACCACAACACTTAACACATACTGACTTTTCTTTTCATCACCTTTGTCCCACCACCTAGTTAGCATCTGAGCTCCCTGGGTGCGGGGCGCCCTCGCCTGACCTGCGGGTGCATCCTCCTCGCCCAGCGCAGTGGCTGCCCCCCAGCAGACGCTCAGCGAGTGTGAAACCAATGCGCCCACTCAGGACTTGCGGGGCTGCCGTGGCAGGCACTGCCCGCCCGTCCGCTGACGAGCATCTCCCCCTCTCCGCGCCCGCCGCCCTCCGCGCTCCCGCCTCCCTCGCTTACCTGTCGGCCAACTCCAGCACCTCGTGCACGCTGCCCGTGCTGACGCGGATGCGCCCGGTGTACATATACTCGATAACGGCTTCCACTGTGTCGGGTTCGGGCCCCGGCTCAGAGCTCCACTTGCGCATCTCCACCCGTCCCGAGCGGGACTCGGAAAACTGGCCCGACAGCAGGGGCGTGAAGTACTCGGTGGCCGCGGCCAGTACCGAGCGGTGGGCCCGGAACTCGCGGCCTCCAGCCCCGCCGAAGCACAGGGTAATGTCGCAGAAGAGGCCCTGGCGCCGCTGCTCGTTCTGCCGCCAGGACAGCTCTGAGCAGTGAGAGCTGCACTCGAAATCCTCGGCTTCTGGGCCCGGATCGCCCCCGCTCGCCTCCATGGCAGAGATCCCCGGCCCAGGCCCGAAGTCCACCGTGCCGCTGCCTCGGACTTCCGCAGCCAGTCCTGCCGAGCCGGCGGCGGCAGTCTCCATGCTCTCCATCTCCAGCACCTGAAGAGATGCAGCCGCGGCGGCCGCCGCCGCTGCCGCCACTGCCGCGGCCGCCATCTTGACGCTGCCGCGCCCGGCCTCCGCAGCCTTGGAACGATGTGGCCGTTTGGTGAGACAGAGAGGGATTCTGGGATTAAATAGTGCGCGCGGGGCGGAGCCGGGTCGCCCGCCGACTGCGCACGCGCCACCTCGCCTCCCGCAGCCCCGCCCACCTTGGTGAGGTTCAGCTGTAATCGTCTACCAGTCGGGATGACTTCGCCCCAGGCCCCTTACCAGGACATCGGGTGCGAGGAGGGCTCGCTCCCTTTCCTTGGGTAGCATGCTCTCTGCAGTCATTTTGTCGAGTAAAAGCCACTTTAGATCATCATCCGTTGTTAAAGCCTTAAGTGACAAGACAGGATTTTTATAAGATTGAGTCCTAGCTAAGTGGATGAGGGGTGAATGAGTTACCTGTTACCCCTAATTTATCTTCTAAACATGGGGATATTACCTACTTTGTAAGCTCACGGAGAGGATTCAACGAGATAGTACTTAAACCAAGTGTTCTGCGTAGTGCTTTGGTTCATAGTCAATGATTGTATATCCTTGTTGAAGATTAATTTAAAAGCCAATTTGGGCCGGGCTGGGTCGCTCACGCCTATAATCCCAGCACTTTGCGAGGCCAAGGTAGCTGGATCACTTGAGACCAGGAGTTCCAGACCAGCTCGGACAACATGCGAAATCCCGTCACTAATAAAAATACAAAAATTAGCTGGGCACGGTGGTGGGCGCCCGTAATCCCGGCACTTTGGGAGGCCGAGGCAGGCGGATCACTTTAAGTCAGGAGTTCGAGACCAGCCTGGCCAAAATGGTGAAACCCCATCTCTAATAAAAATACAAAAATTAGTGGGGAGTGGTGGTGGGTGCCTGCAATCCTAGCTACTCGGGAGGCTGAGGCAGGGAGAATCGCTTGAACCCGGGAGGCAGAGGTTGCAGTGAGCCAAGATCACGCCACTGCACTCCAGCCTGGGCAGCAAAGTGAGATGCTGTCTCAAAATACAGATCAAAGGATGTGGATGCCAAGAGACAGCAGTATGCCTTCATTGTAACTATATAGTTTATTTAAACCAAACTATGATAACACAGAGAAGAGACTGAGGTGGCAGCCACCCAGAATCTTTGTGGAATACATATGCAAAGTAGCTAGGAGTCCTTGGACCCACACTTCAGTTACAGACAGACAAGTCAGCTGCATAAATACAGAGAACATAAGACACAGACATTTCACAGCTTTTTGCGTTTCCATTTTAAATGTATGTTACAACTTTACATGTTACTACTCCACATATTTTGTGACAATGGCTAAGGATGCAATGGCCCCATCCCCCTGACATATGCAGACTCTGGTCTGTAACACAGAACATTTCAGTGGGATACCAAACAAGCTCTTAACACATAACAAACAAAAAGATCTTTAAAAATCAAATTAATACAATGTTCTTCATGTTAAATGAGGAAGAAGAAAGATAAGTAAACAAAAAAAAAAAATGAGACAGGGTGCTTTAAATGTATAGTATCTTGACGTCTTAAATGTTTCATTCCCTTCCTCCAGGGGAGAAAAAAATGTTTAACCAATGGAAAAAGAAAGCAACATCCTAGCGCCCTAAAATGAGGAAGAACCCCATCCTGACAGTACTTAGATGCTTCCATATAGTAAATACAGCAGGTAGCAGAGCAAAGTCACAAGTGTTGGCTTGGTTTTTATTTCTATGCTTATAAAAAAAAATATGAAGCTTCTTTGTGTGGACTGAACAGGTGTTAGCCTGTGGGGGTTGGTCTTCAGTGCCTGTACCCTGGTGGCTGTTTGCATTCCAGGGCCCTGTTAAACAGTTTCCACTGCCAGCTAGCTGTCTGTACACTTTTTCCTGGGGGAGGAGTTCTTGTCTTCAGTTTACTGCTGTAGGGTTCCTGGCTCTGTTACATGCTCATGTGTTCCGGAAGAACATATGAAATATCATCCCACGGATGACGATACAGCCCCTGCTTCAGCCTCTTCTGATCAAGATAGTGTCCTAAAATGAAGCAAACACATCTTTTTTATTAGAGCTTCATAAGCCTGGTGAGAGCGAGAAGGTAAGGAAGGGAAATTGTTCCAACACACAAACAAAGTGAATACAAAGCAGTGGAAAGTTTAGTCCATATCCATTCCACAGGTAGACTTTGTACAAGGGAACTGTTGGATCTGATTCTATAAAAATTTTAAAGGAAAATAAACAATAAAAATAAAAAATAATATTTTCCTGGGCTAGCAATCATTTCTAAGAACAAAGGAACAGGTGTGGTGGCTCACGCTTGTAATCCCAGCTCTTTGGGAGGCTGAGGTGGGCAGATCACCTGAGATCGGGAGTTCGAGACTAGCCTGACCAACATGGAGAAATCCAGTCTCAACTAAAAATACAAAATTAGCCAGGCGTGGTGGCACATGCCTGTAATCCCAGCTATTCGAGAGGCTGAAGCAGGAGTGCTGCTTGAACCCAGGAGTATAGCTGAACCATGGGGGTTTAAAAAACAAAAACAAAAAACACTTTAAACAACAATGAAGCTCACTTAAATTATTGCTGTCAGGTGTGTCTGCGTAAGGCTCAGTCTCAGGGGTATGCTGGTTGCTGTCAGTTGTCTACTATGCGCCTCCACCACAGCATACCCTTGAATGACCCTCATAGTTTTACGACATTCTTCTGTGACTTCCTTGGGGCCAGGTATATGAAAGAGCATTGTGGCCAGATGCCTCCGAAGCAATACAATGAAATCAGACTATACAGAAACTCTTTCCAAGCATTTGGGAGTAAAAAATAGAAATAAAAAAACAACAAAAAGACTCACCAATGAAGCCCATACTCCTTCCCAGCACAAAGATGCCATTGAGGGCTCCAATGTCAATATATTCATCAGCTTCCTCCCTGCAACACACAATCAACTTGTAGTTTTAAAAGGCTCACATGACTGCCCTCCTCCCCATGGACAGTACTACTACTGCCCAGGAATGAGAAGAAAAGCTCTCTTTGGTTTCAAAGTAGAAAAGAGGGATGCTCTGGGTGGTAGGATTACAGGCAATTTTTGTTTCCTTCTTTATACCTCTCCTTATTTTTTAAATATTCTGAGTATGCATTGCTTTTACAGTTTGGAGGAAACACCAAAAATCAACAAACGTAACGAAGAAGAAAACAGCTGCAATGCTCACCGAGTAAAGGACCCACAGTTTCTAAGCATGTCTACAAACGCAACTCCAATGAGACCATCTACATTCAGGATAAGATTTGGCTTCTGGGAAGGCAAAAAATTCAAAGCATTTATCATTATTTCTCATTTTTTCTTTGTCATTTTTCCACTGTTACTACTGTTACCACGAATTGCGACCATTATTTAAAAACCTTCCACCGTCCCTACTGGCTGACGCTGTGTCTGACTCAGTTCAATTCCCAGCATCTAGCAAAGTACCCAACACCTAGCTGACATTTAGTGCATGTCTGCTGAAGTTAGTTATGACAGAAAAAGAACACTTCCAGAAAACTGGGTTTGCTTTTAGCTGCATAATCAAAATGTAACCTGGCTATTTCCTCCAATAAATTTATCCAACATAAGATTAGAGAATTAGGGAAGTTTTTTCTTTGTTACCTTCGAGGTGGTAATCTTCTCCACTTCCAGGGCATAATCGAGCAGAGGAGTGGCAGGGAAGTGCTGCCTGACGTAATCTTTGAGGATCTGCACTCGCATGTCTGGGTTGTTTATCTGGAAATGAACCCAGCATTACAGAGGAACACTCACAGACTGCTGTGAAGGGATGTGTTTGTTCATACTTGTGTTACAGGTGGGTAGAACTGTACATACCCCAGAGGAAATTCAGGAACCTGGCCCACGTGTACAATTCCATGTGGTAACCATTGTGCTACTGCCGTGGGGCTGGTTTTTGAAATCCTCTCATATCTCATTTGGATTACAAAACAACCTGTGTAGGTTCTCACTTTTATGTTACAAAGAAGAAACTGAGCCCTGGAGACGTTCAGGGAGCTGGTCAGGTACTACGGTGTTGAGCAGCAGGGGTCTGAGGATTAACCACTCTCCAACTCAGTCTTAGGTTCTAGCCTCCAGCCATGCCCCTACCAGCTCTGCGCCTACTCAAGCTGTGACAAAGTTCAACACTAAGCAAACACGTGTTGAGTGTGGGGAGGCAAAGTATTCCCAAAATTTTAGAAAAAACTCTAGACCTGCCATTAATGAAATTAACCACCTGTCAGCGGGGGAGTAAGATGATTTAGGGACATACCAAATCCCAATACCAAAGCAACTTCCGAGCTCAACAAAGAGACAGCTGGGTCAGTACATCCTCCAGAAAGCAAGGAGCACAAAGAGTGAATGAGTGAATGTGGAGTGCAGGTCTAGCACTATCTTAGAAAGAGGCCCTTATCCTGTGGGTGGGAAAGGTGTTATATGCTCAGGAGCTGGGGGTGGCTGAGCAAAGTTCAGCAAGTCCTGGATGCAATGTCCTTCAGTGCCACCCACCTTCCCTGCTTGGTTCTGAGCTGGTCCTTGCTCATCAAGCAACCTCTGGGTGTCTCACCTGAGACAGCCAAGTGTTTGGCTGCCTAGAAGGCAGTGTCCTGAATCACATGCATACTCCCCACCTAGGCCAGTGGAGTGACCAACTAAATGAGGTTTCTGGAGCTACAGAGTCAAGGAGCCCAGGGCAAAGGGATTTACTAAGGAGCTGTCCCCATAAGGCCCTGAGCAGCTGCCAGTGACCTCATCTCTTGCTTTTCAGTTTCTAACCACAGCACACTACAAGGACACAGAGATGACTGGCCCTGTGTGAGACTATATAAACTATTTAAAATATTTACTGTCCTTTCCCACTGGTCTCTCCCCATCAGATATGCCTTGATATTATCACTCTTCCTGCCCTAGTGCTGCCAGGAATAACCACTTGACTTGTGGCCAATGAGATGTGAGTGAAGGTGAATCATGTAAGATCCAAGCAGAAGCTTTAAGAGCCTGCACATGGTCCTGCCATTGATGTTATCCTGCTGACATGAGGACAGCACATCATAGACAGGGGCTGTTCCTTCAGCACAGATGGCAGAGAACAAGCATAGCCAACCCTCAGGGGATGTAGTGTGAATGAGACATAAATCTTTGCTGTGGTAAGCCACTGAGATTTTTGGAATTGTCAGTTACTGCAGCACGAGGTATTATCTAGCATAACAAGACCAATATGTCCCCTCAACCTGACCTTGGACCTTTCTCCCATAAGCTTTATTTGGGAAGCCAAAGTTACCAAGTTTGCCATCTCATTTCAACTGCAGTTTCCATACTGCACTCAAATGACAGAAAAGTTGTTAAGAGTAATCTGTATTATAATATGGATAAAAGAGCTGCCTTGTATTTGGCATCTGTCAACACATCCAAAGCTTTGTATGTTGGGAGTTGAGAGTTTAGTTATTCTCCTATATAAATGAATGCCTCCCATCACCGCCCACCAAGTAGATCCATCCCACTTTTTTAGGAGAGTAACAACTCACCGATTTTACACGGTGACCAATGCCCATGATCAGTTTCCCTTCCTTCTTCATCTTGTTCACAAACTCCATGGGGATAATGCCACTGTCAAAGGCTTTACTGAACATCTTGGCTGCTGCATCCAAGGCACCCCCAAACCGATCCCCCTGGAGGAGACACACGTGCATGCTGCTTTGAGCTTTAAGAGTTATCTTCAGCTGGATGTGGTGGCTCACGCCTGTAATCCCAGCACTTTGGGAGACCTAGGCGGGCAGATCACCTGAGGTTGGGCGTTCGAGACCAGCCTGACCAACATGGAGAAATCCCATCTCTACTAAAAATACAAAAAATTAGCTGCGTGTGGTGGTGCATGCCTGTAATCCCCACTACTCAGGAGGCTGAGGAAGGAGGATCGCTTGAACCCAGGAGTTGGAGGTTGCAGTGAGCTGAGATTGCACCATTGCACTCCAGCCTGGGCAACAAGAGTGAAACTCCGTCTTAAAAAAAAAAAAGTTTCCTTCAAGCTGGGCAAAGCAACCCAGTGTGTCCCTAACAGGCCTGAGCACTAGGATTTACACTCAGGGACTCCCTCTAGGGCCCTCCTGTGGCAAAGCAGCATGAGGCCAAGGCCCAGTGTCCCCACTGTTCACCTCCCAGGATGACAGTACTTACGATAGTGAGCAGCCCCGAGGTGAGGCTGGAGACCAAGTCTTTCCCAGCTCGTGCACAAATGATGGTGTTGTGGGCTCCAGAGACAGCTGGCCCATGATCAGCTGTCACCATCAGACACATCTCAATGAACTGGCAAGAGTATTTGGGCAACCTGAAGGAGGGTGCAACAAAGACCAGGAGATGGTTGACAAGGCCACACTTGTAGTTTCTCCAATCTCCCTGAACAAGTCATTCAAATCCAAGAAGGGTAACTACCAATCCAAATCTAATACTACCACACAGCTCTAAGGTAAAACCTCCTGATTCTTTTCTTTAGACAAAGTCTCACTCTGTCACCCAGGCTGGAGTGCAGTAGTGAGATCTTGGCTCACTGCAATCTCCACCTCCTGGGTTCAAGCAATTCTCCTGCCTCAACCTCCCAAGTAGCTGGGATTACAGGTGAGCCCCACCATGCCCGGCTAATTTTTGTATTTTTAGTAGGGATGGGGTTTCGCTATGTTAGCCAGGCTGGTCTTGAACTACTGGCCCTCAAATGATCCGCCTACATTGGCCTCCCAAAGTGTTGGGATTACATATGGTGTAAGCCACTGCACCTGGCCCCAAATACTGTTTGTAAAATAGAGTTTGCAACCAAGATTTAAAATCTATTCTTTGGTCAGTGATTTTCAGCATGAGTTGCCTGCACCAGGATTTGACCTGCATTTGTGGCTATGCTCCATGTGTCAGACAGACAGGGGATAAGAATCCTGTCCTTTCACAGCATAAGAGACCCCATGCCTGATTCCTCTAGTATTCAACCTCCCAACTAAGGATCAAGAACAAAGTGTGGAGACGTGGGAGGCAGCAGCAGACAGAGAGAGACTTGCTCAGGTGTTATAATCTGTGAACTTTTCCCAGGAGGGTCCAAATAAGGACCAACACCCACCTCTCTGCAGGTGAGGGCATGATACAACCCAAGACATTGACCTGGCTTTCTTCCCAGCGCCACCTTAAGCCAGAGCTCTGTGAATCACATATTCACTGGCTCCCCTGCCCAGCCCTCAGTCCCACCGGAGGGCTAAGATTGGGAGTCACAGAGAAAATCAATTTTTTCTAACATTCAGGCTGATGAGAGAAACAAATTTGTAAAGTGAACACAACATAAGGAACTTTCTTTTTTTTTTTTGAGATGGAGCTTTTTTTGCTTTTGTTGCCCAGGCTGGAGTGCAATGGCACAATCTCGGCTCACTGCAACCTCTGCCTCATGGGTTCAAGCGATTCCCCTGCCTCAGCCTCCAGAGTAGCTGGGATGACAGGTGCCCACCACCACACCTCGATAACTTTTTGTATTCTTAGTAGAGATGGGGTTTCACCATGTTGGTCAGTCTGGTGTTGAACTCCTGACCTCAGGTGATACACCCGCCTCAGCCTCCCAAAGGGCTGAGATTACAGATGTGAGCCACCATGCCTGGCCCATAAGGTACTTTCTATCTGTCCAGCAGCTCCACCGGGCCCACATTCCTTAGGCTACCACATCTTTCTAGTTTTGCCTCCCACCTCTATCTTGCTATCAAGAGGTCTGCATTTATTGGTCACATTTCTTTAAAAGTTCCCAAGGTAAAGGGGCTATTCCAAGACCTCTAGTGATTTCACTGCCTTCTGCTTCTCTTCATTTAGACTGGACTTTCTGTCCTTGGATGACTCAGGAATAGTTTGTGAGTCTTTCCTCTGGCCTTTCAATTGACTTGTGGACCCAAAGACTGACCCTGGATACACTCCCCAGGCCTGTCCACTCCCACTCCTTTGTCAGGGGCCCTGTCATCTTCTGTCCTTCATGCTCACCTTTTCTGGAACCAGAGGAGGCCGAGGACCCCACCGATGCCCATCTCTTCCTTGAAGACCTCGGTGATGGGCATGCCAGCATAGATGAGTTCCTGTCCCCGCTCGTCACAGATGCTGGTCATGAACGAGGCAGGTTTTCGGATCAAACCCAGCTCCTGGGCAGAGATGGGGCAGAGGGAAGCAGGGCCATGGTGACTGCCACAGAGTTTTGCAGGACTGCCCTGTCGTGTGTACTCTCAGACCAAAGTGCCCCAGGAATGTCTTAGACTCTGACAGCCAAGCAACAACTCTCAAACAAACTTTTCCGCCGGGCGCAGTGGCTCACACCTATAATCCCAGCGCTTTGGGAGGCTGAGGCGGGTAGATCACGAGGTCAAGATATCGGGACCATCCTGGTCAACAAGGTGAAACCCCGTTTCTACTAAAAATACAAAAATTAGCTGGGCATGGTGGTGCACACCTGTAGTCCCAGCTACTCAGGAGGCTGAGGCAGGAGAATTGCTTGAACCCAGAAGGCAGAGGTTGCAGTGAGCCGAGATCGTGCCATTGCACTCCAGTCTGGGTAACAACAACAAAACTCCGTCTCAAAAAAAAAAACACAACTTTTTCCAAGAAAGAAATGCAAAAGCCCTTTCATTCGATCATTTTGGACATAGAAAATAGGAGGACCCATGGTATCACTTGGCATCAGCACTATCAGCACTATTTCTTTCCTTCACTGAGTATTTCCTGGGCTAAGAAATAGCCTAAGCAGTTATATCCATTGTTTCATTTCTGGAGGGGGGCCAGGGTCTGTCTGTTGCCCAGGCTGGAGTATACTGGGGGGATCAGCCTCATATTCCTAGGCTCAAGCGATCTTCCCACCTCAGCCTCCCAGTAGCTAGGGCAACAAGGCACACACTGCCACGCTTGGCTAATTTTAAAATTTTTTGTAGAGACAGGGTCTTGCTTTGTTGTCCAGGCTGGTCTTAAACTCTTATGCTCAAGCAATTCTCCCACCGTGGTCTCCCCAAGTACTGGGATTACAGGTGTGAGACCCAGTCCATTACTTCATTTTAACCTTACAAAGAAGCATTCCTTGTGTTATAGCAAAAAAAAAAACAAGAGACTTAGAGAGGCTCAGTAACCAGCCTGAGGTCACCTGGCTCAGAAATAAAATGAATCCAAAGGGAAAATCTTACATATACTTCGGATACAGCTACTCATCATAACAAAAATGTAATGGGGCTGAGCAGTGGCTCATGCCTGTAATCCCAGCAGTTTGGGAGGCCAAGGTCAGGAGTTCCTGACCTTGAACCTGGGAGGTGGCAGTTGCAATGCACCCAGCCTGGGTGACAAGAGTGAAACCCCATCTCAAAAATAACTTAATAAATTAATTAAATTAAAAATAATCATACAATTATAAACTATGATGGCCAGGCTCAGTAACTCAAGCCTGCAATCCCAGCACTATGGGAGGCCAAGGCGAGTGGATCACAAGGTCAAGAGTTCAAGACCAGCCTGGCCAAAATGGTGAAACCCGATCTCTACTAAAACTACAAAAATTAGCCCAGAATGGTGGTAGGCGCCTGTAATCCCAGCTACTCAGGAGGCTGAGGCAGGACAATTGCTTCAACCCAGGCAGCAGAGATTGCAGTGAGCCGAGATAGTGCCATTGCACTCCAGCCTGGGCAACAGAGTGAGACTGTCTCAAAAAATAAATAAATAAATATACTATGAAAAATATTACAGGCCAGGCTCACGTGGCTCATGCCTGTAATCCCAGTACTTTGAGAGGCCGAGGCGGGCGAATTACCTGAGGTCAGGAGTTCAAGACCAACCTGGCCAACATGGTGGATCCCCGTCTCAACTAAAAATACAAAAATTAGCTGGGTGTGGTGGTGAGCACCTGTAATCCACCCCGCCAAAAAATCCTCCATCTCAAAAAAAAAAAAAAGCGACAAGATACATGGCTACAGAGATGGGGGAGTCCCTTAAAATGCCCTTTACCAAGGGGACAGGGACTGAGCTCCTAAATTTCCCATTTCCAGAGTTGGGCAAATCAGTCAATTCTGTCCAATCCTATTTCTTCAATTATCTTCTATGAAATTTAAAAATGCTTTACAGTTACATTTTTATTACAAAAACAACATGAAAGCCTAGCCTCCCAGCCTACATCTTTCTCTGGCGCTGGATGCTTCCTGCCCTTGGACATCAGACTCCAAGTCCTTCAGTTTTGGGACTTAGACTGGCTCTCCTTGCTCCATATATATATATAATATATATATAATATATATAAATA